GGTAGGAGGAGCACCAGAAGAGAGCAATATCTTGTAGACCAATAGTGCGGAGGATGAGAAGAAGCTGTTGATGATCAACAGTGTCAAAAGCCGCAGACAGGTTAAGGAGAATTAGGATAGAGTAGTGACCATGAGATTTTGCAGCGAGTAGATCATTGGATACTTTGGTCAGTGCCGTTTCCACAGAGTGCTTAGCGCGGAAACCAGACTGAAGTGGGTCTAGCAGAGAGTTGTACTCGAGCAAGTCTGTCAATCTCGCATACACAACTCTTTAACTCTTTCAAGGATCTTGGATGCAAAGGCAGTAGCGAGATAGGACGGTAGTTGGATGGGGAGTTAGGTTCAACGTTGGGTTTCTTTAGAATTAGGGTTATAGTTGCATGTTTGAAGGGCGATGGAAATATGCCAGAGGGGAGAGATTGAGAATTTTAGTGAGAGGTAGAGAAAGAAAAGCAGACAGAGTACGGATGAGATGTAAGGGAATTGGATCTAGGGAGCAGGTGGTGGGGCGGGGGACTGGAGCAGAGCAGGAACCTCTTCCGCTGTCGCGGGTGCGAATGAAATTAGAACGGCAGAGGGAGTGAGGTTCAGGTAACTATTGTAAGGGGAAGAAGAAAGATGAGAGATCTCTTCCCTGATTGTAGAGATTTTGTCAGTGAAGTGAGTTGCAAAGTCTGAGGCGGTCAAGTTAGTAGGTGGAGGAGGAACAGGGCGAAGAAGAGTTAAATGTGTGAAATAGTTGTTTGGGTTCACAGGAAAGTGTGGTTATGAGGGTATTGAAGAAATGTATTTTTGCAGTGGAAAGAGCCAAGCTGTATGAGCGCAGTATAAATTTATAGAGGAGAAAGTCAGACGAACAGTGAGACATTCTCCAACAGCGTTCGGCAATTCTGGAGCATTTTTGGAGGCATCGAGTCATCTTGGTGTGCCAAGGTTGTTGTTGGGGGAGCTTGCTGCGTTTAGATGTAGGAGGTGCCATGATGTCTTGTTGAGAGGAGAGGGTGGAATTGTAGAAGGAGGTTGCAGAGCTGGGACAATAATATGGCAGCAATGGGGCTCACATTAACACATACAGGGCTCTAGTTATAGAACATGCTATATAACTAACATGGATATATTGATTATTATAATATGACAGCAATAGGCTCACAGTAACACATACAGGGCTCTAGTTATAGAACATGCTATATAACTAACATGGATATATTGATTATTATAATATGACAGCAATCGGGCTCACATTAACACACACAGGGCTCTAGTTATAGAACATGAAATATAACTAACATGAATATATTGATTATTATAATATGACAGCAATGGGCTCACATTAACACATACAGGGCTCTAGTTATAGAACATGCTATATAACTAACATGAATATATTGATTATTATAATATGACAGCAAAGGGCTCACATTAACACATACAGGGCTCTAGTTATAGAACATGCTACATAACTAACATGGATATATTGATTATTATAATATGACAGCAATGGGCTCACATTAACACATACAGGGCTCTGGTTATAGAACATGCTATATAACTAACATGGATATATTGATTATTATAATATGGCAGCAATGGGCTCACATTAACACATACAGGGCTCTAGCAGCATTACGCTATATGCAACCGCAACATGGACATTATGGGCTGATTATTATATGACAAGTAAATGGTCACAGTAACACATACAGGGCTCAGTTATGTAGGAATGATGCTATATAACCAACATGGATATTGATTGATTATAATATGGGCAAATGCCTCACATAACACATACAGTTCTCCTAGAACAAGTGCCATATAACTAACATGAATATTGATATTATAATATGGCAGCAAATGGCCCACATTATTAACACATATTGTGGGCTCTAGTTATAGAACATGCCATAACTGCACAAGGATATTGATTATTATAATATGGCAGCAATGGGCTCACATTAACACACACAGGGCTCTAGTTATAGAACATGCTATATAACTAACATGGATATATTGATTATTATAATATGGCAGCAATGGGCTCACATTAACACATACAGGGCTCTAGTTATAGAACATGCTATATAACTAACATGAATATATTGATTATTATAATATGGCAGCAATGGGGCTCACATTAACACATACAGAGCTCTAGTTATAGAACATGCTATATAACCAACATGGATATATTGATTATTATAATATGACAGCAATGGGGCTCACATTAACACATACAGGGCTCTAGTTATAGAACATGCTATATAACTAACATGAATATATTGATTATTATAATATGGCAGCAATGGGCTCACAGTAACACATACAGGGCTCTAGTTATAGAACATGCTATATAACTAACATGGATATATTGATTATTATAATATGGCAGCAATGGGCTCACATTAACACACACAGGGCTCTAGTTATAGAACATACTATATAACTAACATGAATATATTGATTATTATAATATGGCAGCAATGGGCCTCACATTAACACATACAGGGCTCTAGTTATAGAACATGCTATATAACTAACATGGATATATTGATTATTATAATATGGCAGCAATGGGCTCACATTAACACACACAGGGCTCTAGTTATAGAACATACTATATAACTAACATTAATATATTGATTATTATAATATGGCAGCAATGGGCCTCACATTAACACATACAGGGCTCTAGTTATAGAACATGCTATATAACTAACATGAATATATTGATTATTATAATATGACAGCAATGGGCTCACATTAACACATACAGGGCTCTAGTTATAGAACATGCTATATAACTAACATGAATATATTGATTATTATAATATGGCAGCAATGGGGCTCACATTAACACATACAGAGCTCTAGTTATAGAACATGCTATATAACCAACATGGATATATTGATTATTATAATATGACAGCAATGGGGCTCACATTAACACATACAGGGCTCTAGTTATAGAACATGCTATATAACTAACATGAATATATTGATTATTATAATATGGCAGCAATGGGGCTCACATTAACACATACAGAGCTCTAGTTATAGAACATGCTATATAACTAACATGAATATATTGATTATTATAATATGGCAGCAATGGGCTCACATTAACACATACAGGGCTCTAGTTATAGAACATGCTATATAACTAACATGAATATATTGATTATTATAATATGGCAGCAATGGGCTCACATTAACACATACAGGGCTCTAGTTATAGAACATGCTATATAACTAACATGAATATATTGATTATTATAATATGGCAGCAATGGGGCTCACATTAACACATACAGGGCTCTAGTTATAGAACATGCTATATAACTAACATGAATATATTGATTATTATAATATGGCAGCAATGGGCTCACAGTAACACACACAGGGCTCTAGTTATAGAACATGAAATATAACTAACATGGATATATTGATTATTATAATATGGCAGCAATGGGCTCACATTAACACATACAGGGCTCTAGTTATAGAACATGCTATATAACCAACATGGATATATTGATTATTATAATATGGCAGCGCACTATATGGGTGATATAATATAATAGTGTATTAGTGTCTGGGGTAAGTTGCTGGCAGGTCGCAGCGTGGCTCGGTAACAGCCCAGGTTCTGTCACGTGATGTGGGCGGCGCCGACAGATGACGTACGGTACCGGCAGATGGGGCTTTGAAAGAGTCGGTGACGTCACGAGACCTTGCTGAACCTGGGCCGGTAGGTGAGTGAGGACGGCATGGGGCTTCAAGTGACAGGTGGGGGGAGAGGGGGTGACAGGGTGCAAGTGATAATGGGGAGAGGATATTAAATAGGGTATTAGGGACAGAGTAAATGGGTAGTCATTACAAGGGAGAGAGACAGGGGGACAGTCAGTGCAAGGGAGAGAGACAGGGGAACAGTCAGTGCAAGGGGGAGAGACAGGGGGACAGTCAGTGCAAGGGAGAGAGACAGGGGGACAGTCAGTGCAAGGGAGAGAGACAGGGGAACAGTCAGTGCAAGGGAGAGAGACAGGGGACAGTCAGCGCAAGGGAGAGAGACAGGGGACAGTCAGCGCAAGGGAGAGAGACAGGGGGACAGTCAGCGCAAGGGAGAGAGGCAGGGGGGCAGTCAGTGCAAGGGGGAGAGACAGGGGGGCAGTCAGTGCCAGGGAGAGAGACAGGGGGACAGTCAGTGCAAGGGAGAGAGACAGGGGGGCAGTCAGTGCCAGGGAGAGAGACAGGGGGACAGTCAGCGCAAGGGAGAGAGGCAGGGGGGCAGTCAGCGCAAGGGAGAGAGGCAGGGGGACAGTCAGTGCAAGTGGGAGAGGCAGGGGGACAGTCAGTGACAGAGAAGCAGGGTGGAAGATGAGGGTGACAGGCAGAGCACAAGGTATAGAGAAGGGACAATGTGCACATAGAGCTAAGTCTTAGTGAGGGTTGAGTTGGTTGCAAACTGTTATCAAGGTTTTGCATTCTGGTGCAGACAGGAAGAGAAGTATTTTACAGCATATGGAAAGAGGGAGCAAAGTAAATTGCAGGAGATCTAGCAAGGGGCACAATGGGTATTTTAACTAGTATTTAACTACTAACCACATTGCTTCCAGTAAGGTTTCTACAAAAGCTAAAATCACCAGTGAACCATGTGGAATGCACTTATAGAAACTAGGTCAGAGGTTGACTTCAATTGTCAAAGTTATGGAACGAGGGACTGGAATTGTTCCTAGACAGCTTTCTATGTAACTTTCACTCTGTGTTAACTCTGTGACCTATATACATCTTGCACCTTTCACCCAGTATGTAATCACATGGACCTGTGTCACTAATGCAATGCTTCACACATTGTGCTTACTATGACAGTGTGCTTTCTCAGCCTACCTCTGTGTGTTTATATAAAATCTATCTTCCACCACCATTCTCTCATTTACTCTTTGCAGTCTTCATAAAGGTGTCACAATGCTGAGAAGCTGTGCCAGGCTAATCCGTGGGGGTGTTGCCTTATGTAACCATCCAACTATTCTACAAACTAACAGCCGTGTTCCTCGCCATTTCTCGGTGAGTCCCAATGTGAGTGGTCCTGTCTATGAGGGTCACACGTCCCCAAATAACCAATCACTATTATCCCTTTTTTAGGTCTCTAACCCTCATAATGCTAGCGAATTCAGAGATTATGGTTTACCCAATGCTTCATGGAGCCAGAATCTACAGGATTTGTTCAATAACTTCCAGGAACTGAGTAAAAAAGGCAGTTGGAAGAGGATCCCTTCTTACGACAGTACTGTTCATCACATGGAAGGTATGGAATGGAATGTGTAAAAATCAGGAGGGGGGTGTTATAGAATGATGTGTATTCTGGCCTTTTAATGCCATACCAGAATGTGCACACATGTATCATTTGGAAGATGTC